GAGGCTAACACTAGTGTCTTTAATCCTGCATTGTCCAGCCTTATGGGCATAATTAAACAGCAACATTAAAACTGGACTTCCATTTTTTCAAATTACAGTAAACATCATTTTTGGGATGTTAACTAAAGAAAGAATGGACAATTTCTACATTATAGGTGATTATCTGTAGCCACTATTAAAATCTTGAAAGCATGTGGCTCAAAAATACAAATGTGACTTAGATCCTTTGACTGATTTGCTTAAACACTGGTGAGCTAAAATTTGACAATTACTTACAGCTATTTACTCATTTGAGTATGTAAAACATACAGTTGTTTCTGGCTCCCAGTCAGCACAATTACATTTTTAGTTAAAAATTTATTTTCTTCTCTAGGGCCATGCCTAATACTAGTTATTGCTCTCTTTAAAACAAAACTCTCAGAAACATATACATTTTTTTGTCACTACTTTTTTTTTCAGTCACATCGACCTGCAACTTGAATATTCAATTTTATTGTTACTTATGTATTTTGATTTTTCCAGAATGACTTTAATCATTCATATCTGTATGTATTTGAAATTGAATGCAATCAACATTCTCCAGTTGTTACACCAGCTGATAGACAAAATCGACTGTTATGACTCTTTTCTATTTATTTTCTGCTCAAAGTTATTTAAATGTGCTGTAAAAATGGCATCAAGATAATGCTAAACAATAAAATTTAAATGGAAAAACACAAAATTGTGTAAGTAACTATGGCATCAATTGAGAGATTTATAAATGAGAATACAACTTAGGAACATAATTATAATGTTACAGCTTGATGTTATTTTATATAAAAATGTCTTGAACAATATATGTCATTATGCTGAGAATTCCAGCACTGATTTTAGTGATCATTTCTGAGATGCATTCTCACCAAAAAAAAAAAAAAAAAAAAAAAAAAAGCCTGGGTTTTTAAATGTTTTAAAAATCATTGATTCCCAGTGATGATGCCAAGGAACATTCTTGGCAGTGTCCAGATAATTCTTCCACACATCTCTCATAAGAAGAAAGGGACACCACCCATCTATGCTCGTGGCCTACACATATTAATTTAAAACCACAAACATCTAAACATATACCTTGAGGTTTATCCACAGTTCTCTGAGGTTTTATTTTTCTTTGAATTAGAAGAAATTGATGATAAGCAATCACCATGCTTACCAAAATGCAGAAAACTAGTAGAGTGCCACTAAAAAGATGTTTTGAAAAGCAGCTCCCAGAAAGCAAGGAATCCCTGGTTTGTTTTCTTAGAATAAGAGATTCTATCTCAGATGAGACATCTCTGCTTTTTACAAATGGGTGAAAATGACAACAGAATTAAAGGTTCCAGATATTATTAAATTTGCTTGTAGTATTTGACTAAGGGATGTTTAAGTCCTTCCGTTCTATCACAAAATATTTGAGAAATCAGGAATTCATCAAAAGAGTTGCCAATTTAATGAAATGTACTAATGAAATTGCTCTGTGAGTATGAAGTTGAATTGTATGCTTTTGTTTATTTGGCTATAATTCCATCAATGAATTTCAAAAGAAAATCCAAATCAAAATTCATCACCGTAGTTAATCAATATTGGAAGTCACTATGCTTTTAGTATTTTTAGAAATAAAACTAGTACTTTAATTAAAACATGTGATATTCTTTGACAATCTTCTACCTTAGGATAGATAAGGTTGTTTTATTTGTATAGCTAAAAACAATTCCTTATAAGTTTAAAAAATCATTATTCCTTATGTTAGGATAAACTTGTTCATTAAAAAGATACATGTATTAGTGCCTACCTTCATACTACTACAAACTTTCCTATATTTTATCTATAAATGCTATCAGCTAAATTAAGCCTGGGATAGTATTTTCAAAAAGATTAAATAGACATATTGAGTTAAATAAATGCCACAGATTCTTTCCTTTTGTATCCTCTATTTTAAATAATTCTTGGTAGACTACTGGTACACCCTGTGAAAAAAGAAATAACCTCATTTCCATTTTTTCAAGTTTGAATGCTGAAGATTTATGTTTGAATGAGTTGATGGGCATTTTGGCTCCAGTGTATTTCTGCACCTACCAAAAGGAAGAATACAATAAAAATGGCACTCTTGTCTATGCAGAGGATTGTTACTACGTTTAGCAGTTACGTTTCACGTCTGAGGTAGTTCCTTAGGTACTAGGAAGAAAAGGTGACCTGAGATAAAGTAATGATTTTATGCAAAACTGCCTTCAAGATCTTCTCATCTTAGTATTTCTTTAACTTTTCCCCCTCTGGAGACAGTGTACCTTCATCCTCCAGATCCTGGTACCTTGAGATTTTGTCTATCTTTTGTATCAAAATCTATGATCTATAAAAATTTTGACTAGATAGTTTTCATTATGTTTTCAGGTGTCTTTGCATTTTAGCATAAGCCAGAACTTTAAGATCAATGAAGAATTCTGTAATGGTTCAATTTCAGGTCTTCTTCAGGGAGATTCGGTAGTGGTGTGGTATGTTAGAGGACTTATCCATTGTCCTCACTCCTAAGACCTTGTTTTAGCCACTAGAAAATATTTAATTAATGCCAGTACTCTTTCCTCTGCTCTGTAAAAAGGCAACAACTGAAGTAATTTTCAAAAATGTTAGAAGCAGTCTCCCCTCCCCCAACCAATAGTATTATTTATCTATTGGTGGTTGACTTTGGCCAATAGATTTTAGGTGAACCAAATTCAGCTGAAATGACAAATTTACAAAAGTGTCAATAGATATAGCACTTATATAATGCTGATTTCCTCCTTTTCAGATTTCAGCACTGTGAAAAAGTAAATTTACAAATACATGCAGCATAGCTGAATAAGCAATGACGAATAAAAATAATTAGTGATCTGATGAGGCACATTTCTCAGAATTTGGAATGGATCTAGAAACAGTGCCTTAAGAGTAAGGCACTTACAGGGTAAGGAATGATATGAAGGTAATTTTTAAAATTCAAGTCCTTTTTCTCTAGGTTTGAATACATATACCAAATGTATATGTAACAAAAAAGTTGGTCTTTCAGTTATTTTAGCATTTTATATAAAAACGATTCTTAACTGGGTACTGCCATTACCTTAACTCTCCACTTCAGTTTGTGCATGTGGAAAAGAATATAACAGGGGAATAGATTACAAACGCATGTGCTAGAGATAATCCTTCAGAGTGCATGGATCAACAAGAAACTAGGGTATTTTCGGTGTTTAATGTGAAATATGAGGGACTAAAGAAGAGGTATTAAATTTCACCTCATATATATAGAGAAGATAACCTAATGACTGAAAGTACAGGCCTCTTTTTCAGGGTTTCCACACCCTTACACTTTGAAGAAGGATCTTTGGGGAAGACATGGCAATAGGAAACTCCAGGGGGAACAAAGCAAATTATAACGCAGTGAGAAAAAAAATGATGTAATGGGAAAGTCTGATCTACTCATCTATGACTTCAATAATGAGGCAAACACCGACCTCTGAACTGTAATGATCATCAAGTATCTTTTAAAATAAACATATATGCAAGTCAAATGGATTTGGACATGTTAATTCAGTCTTACATATATTAACTTGAAAAACAGATTCACATTAAAATGTTAAAGGCCTTAATGTTGACACATATATGCGTTTTTATATTACTTAAGTATAATGCCAACGGCCAATAAGTAGTAAAGTTTCAAACAATGAGAAATCATTATAATCTATAAAGTCATTCATGTATAACGGAGAATTTTGATTCTTAGGAAAAAAATCTATGAATAATAAAAGGTACTAATATAGAGCTTAATAACAATTTACATAGCAGTGACAATAATGCATTTCATATACTGCTTTCCTTTTTAATATGAATAATGGGCCATGTTCCAGTTCAATGGGCAATCTAATTTTTTTTAATTAACTTCTAAGAAAAGGTAATAGTCTCATTTTAAAAATGCACATTTTGTGAAGGACAAAAATTACTTAAGTTTAAAAATTATATCCTGACTGAAGTAGAAGAAAATTCATTACATCCTTGCCTTTCATCAATCAGAATTGTATTTTTATAACTTTCAAGATAATGCTTAATAAATGTTATCAATGTTAAGAGCAACATTTCATGCTGAAGAGTGATGTTTCATGCTGAAGAAAAATGCAAAAATTCTAGTGCAACAATTTCCTTATTTTTGCCACCTTACAAGGTGGAAAGAGAAAAACGATCAGTCAGGAGGAATGTACAAGGCACATTTCTTTTTAAGAGATGGAGTCTCTGTTGCCCAGGCTGGAGTGCAGCAGCATGATCATAGCTCACTGCAACCTCATACTCCTGGGCTCACATGATCCTCCTGCCTCAGCCTCCCAAGTAGCTGGGACTACAGGCGCATACCACCATGCCTGGCTAAGTTTTTAATTTTTTGTACAGATGGGGTTATGCTATGTTGCCCAGGCTGGTCTTGAACTCCTGGCCTCAAGTGATCCACCTGCCTCAGCCTCCTAAAGTGCTGGAATTACAGGTGTGAGTCACTGCACCTAGTGTGTACTAGGTGCATTTTAATTACTAATATAAAATTTCATTTTCCTACTGTTTATAAATTACTATTACTATTTAATGAACTGATTTAAAAGAATTCTATAAACTATCACTTAGCTTCTTCTAAAAGAGTATGTGGGTATAACAAAAAATAGAAGATCATATCATAAAAATGAACCATCTTATTTTCATTCTATTCATATTTTGGAATGAAATAAATTGTGACCTTTTGGAATTATGCTTTAAATGTTTACAAATTAAGGCAGAGTTGTTTTTCATTTGGGTTTTAGATACTCTCAGATTTCATCACAATTAAGCCTATTAGAATAGCTGTGAAGAGATCATTTCACAAACAACTTTTCAAAAGCATACAAGATTAATCCATATGCTGCTGAGATGAGGCACAATAAAGAAGCATTACTGAGATAATCTATGGCTAAAATGATGGTGTATGACTTATGATTAAGCTTCATTACCTGCAGAGCAAGGGGCTTCCATCTCATATTTTTCAGTAAAGCTGGTGCTGAGGTAAGCATGCTCTGAGGTCGCTTTTTCAAAGTTAAGATAACACCACTCGGGTCCTCTCGTAGTGCATTCACCAAATTTTTCAACTGCCACCCCACCTGGTAACCAGCAAAATCATTACAATAAAATTGAGGTACAGTATTCAAAGATTTAATGTTCTCCCCCTTTAATAAGATTAGTAAAAAAAAAAAAAAGTCACATAATTGGTGTACCATCCTATCAATTTTCAGGAGATACATACTCAAGAAATTTTATCTTTGAATTGATTAACCATGTTATTGCATTAGTCCATATCATTATGAGACAACATAATGGACATTTACCATGTCAAAGCAAAGACTAAAATGGTATCCTACCAATGGAGTACTTCAGAATGTAATGAAATTATGTCACCATTAATGCGGCTCAGCTGCTAGGTCTAGATCCAAGCTCTGTTCACCAGTATAGTTAAAAATCTATATGCCTGAAAACAAGGATTTGGCAATGTCCTCAGCTTACAAACTACACCACAAGCTTACTCATCACCATCTTTTAGAGATAAGTGGTACCAGTGTCTCTAAATTAGACTGATATTTTACTACCAATAGCTGGTACTGACATACCAAGGCAACATTCTTATGCATGGACAAGAGCAGCAATACAATAAACCTTTTACCATGCTATAAAGACAGAACAAAAATAACAAGGTAACACTACTCCAATGAAGCAGCTATTGGAAATGTGTTCCAAACAACCCTATAAACTTAAAATATAATATGCTAAATTTAATGAAGTTATCCTCTTTGAATATCACCTAAAAACATATTGTGTAATTAAAATCAAAGTACTTGATAAATGTCTTGAAATCGGGCTCAACTGCATCCCGTTAAAATTACTTCACTCTTCATCCTTTTAAAATTCTGAATATAGAATAATTTTTGTTACTTTGCTTTCAAAACGGACTAGTGATGCAGTATCAAGTAACTGAAATCCTAGAAACTATGCTTTAAAGAAACACATTAAAATGTCTATTATTCCAAGTTGTTTTTTTTTTTTTTTAAAATTTCACATTTAAAAGAGAGAAAACCCTTTTATCCCAAACCCTAATGGATTATACTTTTCCAGGATGTGTTATATAAACACACTAGGTCAAAATTTATCCTGAATTGTACGTAGGATTTAGCAAATGGTCTGAACAGTGATACAGTTTCTTCCTAGGCATCCAAGTTAAAGATAATTGGTGCCTTTTGTCTAATAATAATCATGTTTTTGACTGGGAGATATTTGTCAAGCCGGAGAGAATGAGCACTTCCACCAAAAGCAGCATAGACCAGACTATGAAGAAGAGGTAATCTGGAATGCGGCTATTATGGAATGGGGACTTTTGTATATTTAATAAGCATTCATCTAAATTGCAACATCAACTATAGCTGAATTAAGTGTTGGTGAAGTTAGAACAAACAAGAAGTGAGATGTTATAATGCTTAAAATCTCAGGGGGTCTCAGATATGAATTAAAATGATCATTATACTTGGATAACCTGAATGAGACTGCCAGTTTTTTTTTTTGTTTGTTTTGTTTTTTTAAATCACATTAATGTGGATCAACTACAGTAATGGAACTGGTCAAATGCCTCCCCTTACATGTAAGTGGGGACTATTATGTGCCCAAAGGTATATTACATTGATTCTGATTCCTCTGATAGCTGTGTAGTATCTGTACAGCCAAGAGTTAAAGCAAAGGGAGTTCAAATCCAAGGGTTCATTTTGCTTGCCAAAGAAAATATGAATGCACATTTTGAATTACAAGTTTGGGGGGAGAAAACATACTACTTATACAAAGAGTTTGGGAGCAACTTATTAATGATAACCACATTTTATTATTTAATTATTCACTCAAATAATTGCTAACTATACTAAAGTGGTCAATGTGATGGCCATAATCTTTTTTCCAGCACATCTATTCTCGATTTACACATTGATTTCTACTCACCAATTTTTCATTTTACTTATTACAAAATTTGAAGATTTTTAAGGCTAGATGGTATTTTCCTATGAAATTTTTAGTGCAATTTGATTCATCCTATTCTTTCACACTTTCTATGTGCTCTTTTCAAGAAAACAATTCCAAAAAATAGAATTGCTTTTTATTTTGACAGAGTCTCGCTCTGTCGCCCAGGCTGGAGTGCAGTAGCACGATCTTTGCTCACTGCAAGCTCCGCCTCCCGGGTTCATGCCATTCTCCTGCCTCAGCTTCCAAGTAGTTGGGACTACAGGCGCCTGCCATCACGCCCGGCTAATTTTTGTATTTTCAGAGCTTCTAGTAGAGACGGGATTTCACCGTGTTAGCCAGGATGGTCTCGATCTCCTGACCTCGTGATCCACCCACCGTGGCCTCCCAAAGTGCTGGGATTACAGGCATAAGCCACCGTGCCCAGCTTAGAATTGCTTTTCTATCAGAAAGTAGAATTGGTTTCTGATAAGAAAATTCATTTGGGTGGATTTTAATTTTACAGCTGAAAGTTATTTAATGGCAGAAAATTTGGGTATCTAATTTTACTATTTTTAAATCAGCCTTTTATTATTTACATGACATTAACAATGTTTAAAACAAAAGCAAAGAAATATACATCAAGACTGTATATTACATATCTTCGGCTCCCAAATTCTACTTCCACTACTTTAAGGAAATGATTGGATAAAAGCACAAAAATAAATGTGCAACATATGTGTCACAGTACTGTTTAAATCAACCAAAAATTGTACATTATGTAAATGTATCCATTAGTAAGGGATATAAAAATTGTGTAAAAAAAAAGTAAGTTCCAAAATAGCAAACATAATTTAATTCTACTTTCGTTAAAGAATGTACATAAATATAGAAAACACCATTAATGGTGGTTCAATTAAAGGGAGTAAGGACTTGCAATATATACTTTCTTCTTTATACTTTTATTTCCTAAACTTTTGGCAATAAGTGTGAGTTACTCTTCTAAACAAACAAAACCAACAAAATACATGAACCTAGTCTATGAATAGCAACATTCCAATTAGAAAATAATAAATTTTATGAATTACCTAATCAGGACTGTTTGATATGGATGGAAAATTTCCACCAAAACTGCAGAACCAGAAAGGCAACACTACTATTTAAAACACTAAAAGGTGGTGACGGAGAAGTAAAATCTGCTCTATGCATTATACCTTGATGATTGACAAGAGAGAATATAAATTTATTATTCAGGTGTACTCAATAAGTCAAGAACTATACTATCCACTGATTTTTGATTCAGTGAATGATCTCAGTAGATACTCCACTTAAGTATTAAATCAGTTTCACTTAGAAATTATTAAATAGGAATGAAGCCTACTGAGTAATTTACAGCCTATGTGTAACATTTTTCTTAATAACATACGTAGGTTTTAGCTATATCAGTCCCATCCTAGTACTTGTATACACATAAACAGCAACCAGAGCTGTGCCGTTCTCATTTGAATAGTCCTTTTTTTCCTTAGTCCTCTCTCAAACTCCTTAAATTTGAATCATTTCTATCTTCTTTACCAAATATAATTCTTAACACTTTCCCCCCATTTATTGGTTTTGGTCATGTTCTACTAGAAGTCAAATATGACATGGTGCTAGAGCTCCAGTACAAATAATTCCAGTCTCTGGGATATTCTAACATACCTTTAGCCATAAAAAATATATAAATACGTGTTAATCATTTTTCTTTTCTTTTTTTCTTTCTGGTTTTTTTTTGAGACAGAGTTTCACTCTTGTTGCCTGGGCTAGAGTGCAATGGTGCGATCTTGGCTCGCTGTAACCTCTGCCTCCCGGGTTCAAAGTGATTCTCCTGTCTCAGCCTCCCAAGTAGCTGGGATTACAGGCATGCACTACCACACCTGACTAATTTTGTATTTTTAGTAGAGACAGGTTTTCTCTATGTTGGTCAGGCTGGTCTCAAACTCCCGACCTCAGGTGATCTGCCAACCTTGGCCTCCCAAAGTGCTGGGATTATAGGCGTTGAGCCACTGTGCTTGGCCGTTAATCATTTTTCTAGGTTAGTTTTCCATTTTTTCATTTAAGTTTCTGGTTGTGGTTTAAAAATATTCAGTGTGTGAAACTTAAATTAGAAACCATGTAAAGATTTAACAGTAATACGTAGAATGGCTGTAAAGTACTCTTTCCACTGGCTGCAATCAAAGTATATACTAGCAGGTAGAGAGAGTTTTGAAAGAAGGAAGAAGAGGTCCTAGTGGTTACTAATATAATAATAACTAATATAAGAGTGTAAGCTGCTAATATTGGAAGGAATTAAATAAGGTGCAAAATTTAAAGAATTTTTTTTGAGACAGGGTTTTACTCTGTTGCCCAGGCTGGAGTGCACCACCATGGCTCATTGCAGCCTTGACCTCCCAGGCTCAAGCAATCTTCCCATCTCAGCCTCCAGAGTAGCTGGAAGTACAGGTGTACACTACCATGACTGCCTAATTTTAATTTAATTTTTTTGTAGAGATGAGGGTCTCACTATGTTGCCAGGGCTGGGCTCTAACTCCTGGGTTCAAGAAATTTCCCCATCTTGGCCTTCCAAAGTGCTGGGATTATAGGCATGAACCACCAAATCCAGAGATGAAAAATATTCTAATAGTCAAAGATATCCAAAAAAGAATTTGGCTGACTTGTGAAACAGATCAATATCAAGAGATGTTTCAATATTCTTGCATAGGTCAAATAATTAGGTAACTTTAAGTCACAATACATTCCAACTCTAAAACACAGAGTGGGTAGGAACATGAAAATAGATGATAAAGATTAGTTTGAGTAAAATAACATGGTTCTGTTACATCTCTGCCTACCTGTCCTCCATCTTTTCTTCCTCTTCCCTACCAATAAGTGTACCTGTTTCCTCTAGGCTAAGTGTTACACACCTTTCTAATACTTCATGCTGTCTTCTTACAATAATCTCTTTCAAAAGCTTTCACCAACAACTTCCTGCATGATTCCCAAATCTTTCTACCATTCCTGCTTCCTATCAATAACTCTAGAGTTATTTCCAGGTGTTTAGCTTGTCCACGTTAACAGCTACTGAACAATCGCAAGCATCAACAATTCACTGTGC